AATTTAATAAAATATAGCTTTCGCAATATGTTTCAATGTGGTCAATATAGAAGCTAATATGCACTTAGGTTGAACGTTTGTTAAAAGATCTTTTCTATAATGAGAATACATATCAACAGAAACCTCAAAATGTAGGAGAAAGTTGAAGACAATGTCCCACTTACTGACTTGGAACTTGATAATGTCCTAAGAAAGAAAACATGTTAGTGAATGGTGGGTCCAATGTACATCATGTGTAATCTTTGTTTTTCTTTGTTTCTGGACAAAGGAACCCCTGAGAAGACTTCAGAATTGTCAATATTGGGGAAGTGCAAGATAGATAGCTGATTTCTAGCTGTTCAATATTCCTGAATGTATAATCTCCGTTCCGCAGATGGTCGGAGAGTAGTGTAGAAATTAATCAAGTTTTATATTTCTGTTAACAACAATGTTCTCCAGTTTGATTCTCAATATAATTGCAATTATAGTAATAATACACAAATAAAGATTTATTTGCACATAATTTTCATATATTATATTTATATAACATTGATAATTTATTTTTTTATTTTTAATAATTAAAATTTATTTATTTTTTATCGTATTTATTAGATACAATAATTTTTTTATGTAAAAAGTTATAATAAATAAATTTCAATTATTGAAAGTAAAAAAATAAATGATTGAGATTTTGTATAAATATAATATGTGAAATTTATATATAAATAAATTTTTACTTATAATACAATACCGGACTTACGTTGATTCAAGTATATACTATATATATAAAACTAATTTTACCAATCTAATGGTTCCATAAGAATAATAATCACAATATACTGTATTCCGAATTAATTCTATTTTGTATGGATGATTATCGGCACAGTTAATAATAGTAAATAATATATAACTGTTCAGGCAGTTTCGTGATCCAACACTGTTAAAGTCTTCAATTGCTTCCACACCTGAAATTTCCGAGGGTGTTCCTCGATAAAGACACTCTGACGCTTAAGTTAGCAATACTCAATGCTTTAGAGAAAGAAGCTATCGAAAAGTAATTGCAGAGAGAGAAGTGTAGTAAATTTAATTACCTTACATGAAGGTAGTTGGAGGTATTTATAGCCCTATGTACTGACATGAGCTTGCATCAACTGGCATCCCATTGGACCACGTGTCACAGCTCACATGGATGTGTCTTCACAGTTTGAATCTTGTGGATGTATGAATGGGCCCATTGAGAGTGATCCAGATTGAACGCTGAGCTCCATCCTGTGGAAGTGTTACTAGGCCTACTAGGCATGACCCAAGTTGAATGTTGGGCCCAATTCCAACAATAACCATTAAATAATTTAAGTCAAGGGTATAACAAATTTTCAAAACTTATTTAGAAATTTTATTTCAAAGGAATGATATTCTTATTGATAGTTTTTTTTTTTTTTTTCATTTTTGGAACAATGGAGAATTGAGGCATGAGAATATTACATCACTATAAATACAACCCTGACATTTGAACATGTTTAGGTACATTTTTTTGACATTTTTATTTTAAGTTACACATTAAAACTTAATTCACTTCAAATTATTTATTTAAATATTACACTGAGAGTTGTTACCGCATTCTTGGCTTTTTTATATTATAACGGTACGATAACGATAATTTTTTTATATTATTTTATTATATAATTTTCACATATCATTAAATGAGTAAATGTATTTAATATCACAGATCTCACATGAATAAAAAGAATCAATCATTTAAATGATACGTCAAATTAAAAAGTGATATAAAAATGTTGTTTCAAAATATTTCTCTTTATATTAATTCTTGTATAAAATAAAAAGAAAAATATTAAGTAAAAACAGATTGCTTACATTCACAATAAAAAAGATAAAAAAAGCCTCATACAAATACAATTTCATAGTTCTCGGTGGATTGATTTTTCATAATCATTTCCTTTTCTAGTCATTCCACTGTCATTATACATGAATAACTCAAGTTTGAGTCTTTTAAGTTGGGTGGAGAGAGATTTGAAAATATGAGAGGATTATTTTTTTTATATATAACTCATAATTTTTTTTTATTTCAGTTGTACAATGAGAGGCAATCATCTCATATCCTTTATCTTACCTTATCCACATGTCATGCTACTCGAATTCAGGATCTTTTACTTTCAATAAAAGAAGATGACCACTGAGTTATTTAGGTTGTTGGCATATAATCCATAATTAGATGTTAAAACAAAAAAAGAAAAAAGTGAATAAATAGAAATAAACTAGAAGCAAATGGAATCACTTTCCCCTGAACCCCCACCGGCGGCGCTTGCTGCCATCCTACCTCCTCCTACGCCACCACCCCCTGACATCCTGGCTCCAGCAGATCCAACACCTCCCACTTTCCCTCCTATTTGGGCAATTTTGTGATCCAACACTGTTGATATCTTCAGCTGTTTCTACACCTGAAATTCCCGATGATGTTTCCTTGGGGAAAACACTCCGACGCTCAAGTCAACAATACTCAATATTCTAGAGAGATATGCTCTCAAAAAGTAATTACAGAGAGAGAGGCGTAGAAGAGTTAATACCTTGCATGGAGGTAGTTGGGGGTATTTATAGCCCCATGTATTGACATGAGCCTGCATGTGCGTGCATCCCATTGGACCACGTGTCACAGCTCACGTGGGTGTGTCTCCACAGTTTGGATCTTGTGGATATATGAATGGGCCTACTGAGCATGACCCAGATTGAACGTTGAGCTCCATCTTGTGGAAGTGTTAGTGGGCCTCTTTAGCATGGCCTAGGTTGAATGTTGAGCCTAATCCCAACACCTCCTGCACCTGCCTCCCCTAGTGGAAGATTGCCTTCAGAAAAAAAAAAAGAAAAGAAATGCCAGGGTTGTATGTGACATGTTAAAATGTCAGGGTTCTATCTTCCTCATATGATTCTCAATACAATTGAACTAGTGAAGCTATGATCGGATTACATGTGCTGCGAATTGAATAACTGGCCTCCAGTTCCCAGTGATTGGCCCT